CAATCTAAAATTCCATTGCCTACCTTTTCAAGAATATCAGATGTCAGAATGAAGTGGCAACTCAGCCATGTGGATTAGGAAGAATACTGGGATCACAAAGTAAGCAAAGCAAGCATGGGTCACAGAGCACATGCTCAAATGCCTTGAGGACCTGCTATAATAAAAGGAAATTTAAAAAAGGGGGGAGAGTAGTAAATGTTTGTCCCTGGAACTTTCTCCATAGAGGTCCTGTATAAGAACTTGTATTAATTCTTTTGTTTCCAATGACAAATTCAGTATTTTAATTATTAAAATGACATCAAGGCCGTATCTCATTTTAGATGCTGTTCTCTTTCTCCTTAATCTGCTTTTCCGGCTTGGTTTCTGATATATTTATATATGTAAGTTTTTTGTGGGGAAATACTTCCTCTTTTTTTATTTTTAATTTTATATATTTTTTTGGCCTTATAAGTTTGGGGGATCAATTAGACTACCAAATATTTGACATAATTTGGAAGTAAAACTATCTTAAGTGCATGTGAACATATGATTTTTGGCACTCGTACTGCCCAAGCCACAACTTTTTATTCTTTTTAAGTGAAATATAGACTTTGAGGCTCACTGACCTTTGAATACAAGTTCCTTTTCCCAGAAGAGTATACACTGTCCATTTGGTTCCCATGAAAAACTCCCTTGAACATATTGGTAAAGAGCAGTCCTCATTTCCCTAAAAAGTTAGTTCTTTTATCAACTGTGGAATCTGAGTAACTCTACACTTTTGCTGGTTCAGATGATTTCTAGAATTGCTATCTTGTGGCAGAATTAATCACAGCAAAAGAAAATGTGCCAGTGTGGACAATTTTAGGCCAAAAAAGAGCCAGAGAGCTCAAATTTGTGTAGCTTGTTAATAATATACCTAATTTATAGTACTTAAGATCCTTATTCAATTACTAATTTGACTAAAATGCCCAAAGATTTTAATGTTCAGTGTTAATAAGATATCATAAGGCTATTTAAGTGGATGCTTAAAATTTTTGATATATTAATTGTTTTCTATAAAATCTCAGTTGGCTGTAATTCCAGTTCACATTTGCCTTATTCAGATTCTAGTGTTTATTTTTTTAAAAAATGAAGCAAAAAAGTGATTAATGGCTTATCTGGTTAAGAACATAAGGAAGAATTTGCTTAGAAAAAACATTTTTCTTTCTGAATTTCTGTACTTCATAGATTGAACCATAGGAAATTATCATTTGTGTGGGTTAAAGAGACAATTTCCTATGGTTCAACTTATTACTTAGTTTAGAATAATAGAGTCCTCTATGTAAGCCTATAACATATGGGCTATAAAATAACAGTTTATCCCATTTATACATTTTTTGGCATAATTAGAATGGGTTTTCAGATTTGAGAGGTAGCTTTTTTTTTCTCAAAGATTTTATTTTTAAGTAATCTCTATACCCATGTGGGGCTGGAACTCAGAAACCCTAGATCAAGAGTCGCATGTTCCACTGACTGAGCCAAACAGGTTCCCTGAAAGGTAGCATATTTTTAAAAAATTTCTTAAATTAATTAATTTTTTTAATTTAAAATTTTTTTAAAGATTTTACTTATTTATTTGAGAATGAGAGTGAGCACAAACAGGGAGAGGGGCAGAGGGAGAAGGAGAAGCAGACTCCTGCCAAGCAGGGAGCCCAACGACGGCGGGGCTCCATCCCAGGACCCCAGGATCATGACCTGAGCAGAAGGCAGACGCTTAACTGAGTGAGCCAACCAGGTGCCCCTAATTTTTTATTTTTAACTAGGCTCGGCGTGGAGCCCAACATGGGGCTCAATCTCATGACCATGAGATCACGACCTGAGCTGAAACCAAGATTGGGATGCTTAACTGACTGCCCACCCAGGTGTCCCAAGATTATTTTTAAATCCAGTGCTTTAATTATCTTATAGTTTAAGGTCAATTCAGATTATGAAATGACTGTACCATAGCTGATAACAGTAGTATTCTGTATGTATAGAAGTCACCTTGGGGTGCCTGGCTAGCTCAGTCTGAGGAACATACAACTGTTGATCTTAGGGTCATGAGATCAAGCCCCACATTGGGTGTAGAGATTACGTAAATAAATAAACTTAAACATAAAGGGTCACCTCTTACTCCTTAAGCAGATATTTGTTTAGTTATGAGAAACAAAGCAAAGATAGAAAATCAAAGTGTTATTAGCCTCATTATGAAATTAGACTATTAAAATAAATCAACATTCTGGAAATATGATATTAAATTAAATTAACTTTATTTGAACAGACACAAAACTGCTTTCTAAGGGGGGGACTCTGGCTTTTCCTATAAGAACTTGTGCAGTTTGGGGCACTTGGGTGGCTCAGTCGGTTAAGCATCTGCCTCTGGCTCAGTCATGATCCCAAGGTCCTGGGATTGAGCTTCTCCCTCTCCCTCTGCCCGTCCCACTGCTTGTGCTCTCTCTCAACTGTTCTCTCTCTCTCTCTCTCAAGTAAATAAAATAAAAAATTACACAACCTTGCTAAACTCTGTTACTTAAAAAAAAAAGAACTTCTGCAGTTTATCACTGCATAAGTGGGTGGTTTTTCAACTAGATAAGACTACATCAGACTTGAATTTTCATATCAAAACATTGACTTTTCCTAGTATTTACAACATAGATTTTTGTTTTGTCTGCAACACAGGACACCTGCACAAATGACATTTCTTAGCAATGCCTCTCTTGGAGTTTTAGAAAGGGTTATCTGAAAGGATATGTTAACCATTCATCCTTCTAGGATAGCCGTTATCTTATATCTAATTAGATTACGGTCCCTGGAGACCAGGTGAACCTGGCTGTACCAATTTTACTGCAGTGTGGGGTATTAGGCATATGGGAGAAAAAAAGGGGTGCTTGGACGGGGCACCTAGCTCCCTCCCCTGGAGGGACAAGGTGGCTGAGGGGGTGTTGGAGCCTTGGCGAATGGCTTTCTTGCTGGCCACTTGCAGAGTGAGTAGACCCCAAGGGTCTGGAAAAGGGGTAGGCCCCCACCCCTGTATCCTTGGGGTCCCTGCTGCCTTTCCTGTCCGGGCTAGGCTGTGGGCACGAATGTCACTCTCTTTCTGCCTCCTTTCCACTGCCCTCTGGGGGTGTGGATTCAGGATTTGTTCCTAGTGTCCAAGACTTTGCTAAGAAACTTACAGGAGCTCATGCTTATCTACATATCTTGATAGAACATTTAAAGCTTTTTGATGACAAATTTCAAAACTGCAAAGATGAACAGAGAAAGATTATTGAAACTCTCAAAGAAACAACAAATAGCATGGTAGAATCAATTAAACACTGCATTGTGTTGTTGCAGATTGCTAAAAGTACTATTAATTTTGTAGATGCAGTATACCAATCTAGTCCCTTGGAACCTGTCATCAACACAATGCCTACCCAGAACCTGCTCAGTTGTGTAAGTCAGAGCCACGCCTGTCTTCCCTACCAGTTGGACCTGTATTAGCTATATTGGGACATCATCAGACTACAACACCAAATAGTACAGGCAGTGGGCACTTACCACCTAGTAGCAGTTTGACTTATCCAAGCCATGTCAACTTGTCTCCAAAGTAATACAGCTTTCAAAGACCCAGTTTATAGCTGTGTGTTTCCTTTCATTTTATTCCTAGCTCAATTTCCTTTCCTCCCTCCAACCTCTTCTTCCTTCCTTTCATGTATTATTATACTAGGAGTTGGTGAAAATGATTCAGTCCCTGACCTCTCTTAACACAGTCTAATGCAGGGAGACATGCAAAGAAAACATTCCGAGTCCCTATGTAGAAACTTGATAAATTCTGGACATAATTTAACATTAGAAGAAGTTTGTTTCTCTTAGCACATAGACATGCTTACTGCTACTAAATAATATAGTGGAAAACTAAAAATAAATGACTTCTTTACTGGTTTAGGTCATTATTTTTGTTATGTAACAAGAAGTTTGGAGGTAGCCAGCCCAAGGGCAGGTATAGTGGCTTCTGTATTTCCACTGTGCTATACTTAGCATGGTGCTCTCATTCCTCTTTCTTATTGCTTCAGACCCAATATGGCTGCTTCATTTGCAGGCATTACATTTACTTTCCAGGCAGGAAGAAGAATAAAAGACCTCATTTTTGTTGGGCTTACTCCTGCTCCCTACAAAAAAGGGAAGTTTGCATGAGGAACTTCTTGCTGTGTCTCATTGTCTAGAATTTTATTACATGCCTCAGAGTATTTTAGTTTTCTAATCACTATAGTAGAGGAAGGCAAGTGTAAGAAGCATTGAAATTGGTATTCAGTGACACTGAAACAATAAATGATAAATCATTCAAGACTAATAAATTCTAGGCCAATTGTCTTGACCTTTGCATTCCAAAACCAGTTGTGTTTTGAATAACATCAGGATCCAAAAGAAATCCAGGGGAAGATATTTGCAAATGACATTTCTGATAAAGGGTTAGTATCCAAAATCTACAAAGAACTTATCAAACTCAACACCCAAAAAACAAATAATCCAGTTAAGAAATGGGCAGGAGACATGAATGGACACTTTTCCAAAAAAGACATCCATATGACTAACAGACATATGAAAAGATGCTCATCATCAAGGAAATAAAAATCAAAATTACAATGAGATACCATCTCATACCTGTCAAAATGGCTAAAATTAACAACACAGGAAACAACATATATTGGCAAGGATGCAGAGAAAGGGGAACCCTCTTGCATTGTTGGTGGGAATGCAAACTGGGGCAGCCACTCTGTAGAACAATATGGAGGTTCCTCAAAATAGAACTACCCTATGATCCAAAAATTGCACTAGTAGGTATTTACCCAAAGGATACAAAAATACACATTCTAAGGGGTACATACACCCTGATGTTTATAGCAGCATTATCAATAATAGCCAAACTATGGAGAGAGCCCAAATGTACATCGACTGATGAATGGTTAAAGAAGATATAGTATATATAGGCCTGCGCAGTGGCTCCTTGTCAGGTGGCAGCCATGGCGGGTCAAGAGGATCCAGTGCAGCGGGAGATTCACCAGGACTGGGCGAACCGGGAATACACTGAAGTCATCACTAGCAGCATCAAGAAAATCGTGGACTTTCTCAACTCGTTTGATATGTCTTGTCGTTCAAGACTTGCAACGCCAAATGAGAAATTGACACCTCGAACGGAGAATAGAGTACATTGAAACACGGGTGACAAAAGGTGAGACCCTCACCTGGAACTACACCATGCTGCTGCTGGGAAGTTGCTTTATGGAATAGAGGCCAACGTGGGAAAGGCCCCAGCAGCCTCAGCTCCTTCCTCTCTTCTTAAGGAGCAACAGGGCTTATTCTTGTTTTTCTTTTTTCAAAAGTATGGCCTTTGGGTTCTGCCATGTACATCGGTGTGTGATGTGGCATGTGGGAAGACGTCCAGGGGAGCTCTTGGAACCAACATTAGGCATTTTATATTTTAAGTAACATTTTGTAGAACTGTTTGTCAGTGTATTTGAGGCTCTCCGAGCCAAACACCTGGGACTCTTTGTCAAGGTCCTCCCCACCTCTCTTTCTCTCTCTCTCTCTGACTTTCCTTACAGCTCCCATTGCCTCTGCATTGATTCTATAAACAGTCTTTGTCTCCTTTCCACCTTTGGTGGGGGGTGGGAGGCAGTCCTGGCTGAGACACTTATGCCCTGGCAAGGTGGCCACCAGAAAATGTTGTTCCTAACCCACCAGTTTCTTGTCCTTTTGGGGAGGTCAAGGCCCCCACTTGACTTGAAGCGACATTTTCAGAATTTTCTTTTTGTCACTTGGGGTGTCTTTGCCTCTCATATTTCCCTAATAAACTCAACTAAAAAAAAAAGAAAAAAGAAAATATAGTATATATACACAATTGAATATTACTCAAACATCAAAAAAGTGAAATCTTGCCATCTGCAATGACATGGATGGAGCTAGAGTGTATTATGCTAAGTGAAATAAGTCAATCAGAGAAGGACAAATACCATATGATCTCACTCATATGTGGAATTTGAGAAAGGAAACAGATGAACATATGGGAAGGGGGAAAGGAAAAAAAGGAGAGAGGGAAACAAGTCATAGGAGACTCCAAATGATAGAGAACAAACTGAGGGTTGGTGGAAGAAGGTGGGTAGGGGATGGGTTAGGTGGGTGATGGGTGTTAAGGAGGGTACTTGTGATGAGCGCTGGGTGTTGTATGGAAGTGATGAGTCCCTGAATTCTACTCCAGAAACAACCAATGTTGCAGTGTATGTTAACTACCTAAAATTTAAATTAAAAAAAAAGAAGAAAAAACAGTTTATGTAAGAAAATAAGAAGAAAGTACAGATCAAACAGAAAAACAAAAGAAATCCAGTTATTGGTGAAATGATAGGGTAAATAAGCAAAAGGAGTTTCTCTTTTTAAACATAAACAAATTGATTTCTGATAGCCATATTTTCTTTTTTTTTTTTTTTAAGATTTTTTTTTTTTATTCATGAGAGACAGAGCGAGAGAGAAAGGCAGAGGGAGAAGCAGGCTCCCAAGGAGCAGGGAGCCCGATGCAGGACTCGATCCCAGGACCCTGAGATCATGACCTGAGCCGAAGGCAGACGCTTAACCATCTGAGCCACCCAGGCGCCCTGATAACCATATTTTCTATACAAAATGTGAAGTTAGAAGAAGGAAGCAAAGCAGACATACTCGGACCAACTCTAAAAAGTTAATGACTTTAAGTCTTTATTAAATATTTCCTTTCTGGGCACCTGGGTGGCTCAGTTGGTTGAGCATCTGACTCTTGGTTTCCACTGAGGTCATGATCTTAGTGTCATTAGATTGAGCCCCATGTTGGGCTCCGAGCTCAGAGAGGAGTCTGTTTGAGAGTCTCTCTCCCTCTCCCTCTGCACCTCCCACTTATGTGCACACACACTCTCTCTGCTGCTAAGATAAATAAATAAATCTTTAAAAAATTTTTCCTTTCAAAATAGCCCTCTAAACATTCTGAATTTCATGACCTTAATGAAGGTAGGTGTTCATCCTTTGGCTGTTTTTTTAAAATTTTTAAAATTTTTATTTATTTAAATTTTTAAGATTTATTTATTGAGAGAAAGAGAGAGCGTGCAAGCTGGGGGACCAGCAGAGGGAGAGGAAGAATCTCCAGCAGACTCCGCCTTAGCTAGGAGCCCTCCATGGGGCTTGCTCTCACGACCCTGAGACCATGAGCAGAAACCAAGAGTGGACACTCAACGAACTGAGCCACCTAGCCTCAGTTTTTTAAAAACAGAAATTCTAAATTGAGAAAGAGAACTTTGTGCAGTAGCATATGATATAGTGTGATCTTAAATAGAATTTTATGTGACTGGTTATATATTGAGTCTTGCTTGATTTAAATATGTAATCTTGTTTGATTTATCTACAACAGTTGCAGATTGGTAGGTTGGTGCCCCAGGAAGCAGGATTAATATGAAGGATGTTTGCTAATGAGAACTTGTGGAATTTATACCTATGGTGGGAGGTAACGAATCAGGATTAGGCCAAAGGAGAAATTGTAGTAGTCCCAACAATCGCCTCAGCCAATCCCATGGGGAGGCTATTCGAGCTGTTCCCGTTTATGGTAAGGAGGCTAGATCTTTGTACTCCTTCATTCACCAGTCATTTGACGTCAGCTGTCCCCAGGAAGGGGGTATGATCTTGGGCAAATTGATCCGTACAACAGAGTAATTCCCAGAGAGGACTGACAGCAGTTGGGGAGTAAATTTTTCAGACCTTTTCAGACCTTCAGTTCACTGTTGTGACTGTGAGAAAAATCAGAGTTAACTTATAAATTTTAGTATCATCTTATAGTTTTTAGAAATATTACCTACAATAAGTGCAATATCTACTGATAAATGTTCTCATTTAAGGATCTGGAGTTGGACTGTTAAAGGTGACTTAATTCCAATTCAAGATAAAGTGTTGTTATTATCTGTCACCATATAACATTATTACAATATTATTATTTTTATTTCCTATGCTGTACTTCTCATTCCTGTGATTTATTTATTTTATAACTGGACATTTGCACCTCTTAATTTCCTTCACCTCTTTCACCTGTCCTCGCAATCCTTTCTCCTCTGGCAGCCAACAGTTTTTTCTATTTCTGATCCCATCTCTCTTTGCTTTTGTTGTTGTTCATTTGTTTTTTAGATTCCACATATAAGTGAGTCATATGGTATTTATCATTCTGTGCGTAACTTATTTCAGTTAATATAATACCCTGTACATCCATCCATGTTGTTGAAAATGGCAAGGTCCTATTCTTTTTTTATGACTAATACTCCATTATATATATATATATATACCATATCTTCTTTATCCATTCATCTATTGATGGTTCCCATATCATGGTTATTGTAAATAATGTTTCAAAAAACATAGGGGTGCATATACCTTTTTAATTAGTGTTTTTGTTTTGAGTAAATACCCAGTAGTGGAATTACTGGATCATATGACATGTCTATTTTTAATTTCTTGAGGAACCTCAGTACTGTTTTTCATTCCTACCAGAGGTTCGTGAGGGTTACCTTTTCTCTACATCCTTACCAACACTTGTTATTTGTCTTTTTGATGCTAGCCGTTCTGGTTGGTATGAGGTGGTATCTCACTGTGGTTTTGATTTGCATTTCCCTGTGATTGGTGGTGTCAAGCATCTTTTACAGGTCTGTTGGCCATCTGTATGTCCTCTTTGGAAAAAGGTCTATTCAGGTCCTCTGCCCATGTTTAAATCAGATTATTTGTTGTTGGGGTATTGAATTGTGTAAGTTCTTTATATATTTTGGATATTAACCTCTTATCAGATATTTCATTGGCAAATATCTTTTCCCATTCAGTAGGTTGCTTTTTTGTTTTGTCAATGGTTTCCTTTGCTGCGCAAAAGCTTTTCAGTTGGATGTAGTCCTAAGAGTTTATTTTTGCTTTTGTTTCCCTTGCCTGAGGAGACATATCCATAAATATGTTGCTAAGGATGATGACCAAGAGATTACTGTCTATGTTTTCTTTCAGGAGTTTTATGATCTCAGGTCTCACATTTAATTCTTGAATCTCTTTTGAGTTTATTTTTGTGTTTGGTGTAAGACAGTGGTCCAGTTTCATTTCTTTGCACAAAGCTGTTCAGTTTACTCAACACCATTTATTGAAGAGACTTTTTCCTATTGCATATTCTTGCCTCCTTTGTCATAGGTTAATTGACCCTATAAACATGAGTTTATTTCTGAGCGCACTCTCCTGTTTTCATTGATCTTTGTGTCTATTTTGGTGCCAGTTCCATACTCTTTTAATTACTTTAGCTTTGTTGTATATCTTGAAATCTGGGACTGTGATACCTCTAGCTTTGTTCTTCTTTTACAAAATTGCTTTAACTTGAAATTCAAGGTCTTTTGTGATTCCATACAATCTAGTGTTATTTATTCTGGTTCTGTGAAAAATACTATTCGTATTTTGATAGGAATTACATTGAATCTGTAGATGGCTGTGGGTAGTATGGACATTTTAATGATATTAATTATTTCAACCTATGAACATGAGGTATCTTTCCATTTGTTTCTCTTTCTTCAGTTTCTTTCATCATTGTCTTATTAAGGTTTTCAGAGTACAGGTCTTTCACCTCCTTGGTTAAATTTATTCCTAGGTGTTTTATTCTTTTTAGTGCAGTTGTAAATGGGATTATTTTCTTAATTTCTATTTCTGCTACTTCATTATTACTATGTAGAAAAGCACCCAATTTCTGTGTATTTTTTATCCTGCAACTTTACTGAATTCATTTATTAGTACTAGTGTCTCACTTCCATGATTATCTTTGTAATATTTTAAAGGACTCTGGTGTCACATATTTTTCTCCATTCCCTTGTCTTGGTTCATATATTAACTGGCCTCTAATTAATTAGTTAATTAATTAATCTCTACACCCAATGTGGGGCTTGAACTCATGACCCCAAGATCAAGAATTACATGTTCCTCTGACTGAGCCAGGCAGGTGCTCCGTTAATTGGCCTATATTAAAAGAGTCTCCCCTTACCCTCACTTCTTTTTCTTGGAATGGAAGCTTAGAAAGAAGAGAATCTGTCTTGGTTGTTTTCCATGCCTTTTGGATAGACTTCTGTAATTTATTTTCTTTCATTTTTTCCCCCTCAAAGTTATCAGAAACAACAGTATTTATAGAATAGAGCAGCTCTACTACTGGACATGGTAGCAGATCATGGGGTGGGAGGTATCCTCTGGAACTTGTACTGACTGCAAGAGCAGCGGTTAGATGTATTGAATTTAGACTTTACTGATTTAACACTTAGAATAACCTGCATTTTAAATCTATGACCAATTTGTGAGAATATGGG